ATATTTTATTTCTGTCAGACTACTTGTTTTTTTTTTTTTTTTCGAGTTGGAGTCTCACTCTGTCGCCCAGACTGGAGTGCAGTGGCCGCTCCCGGCCACCACAGGCCTCGACCGCTGGGCTCCGGTGATCCTTCCACCTCAGCCTTCCGAGTAGCCAGAATTACAGGCGTGCGCTACCACGCCCAGCTGATTTTTGCTTTATTGTAGAGATGAGGTCTCGCCAAGTTGCCCAGGCGGGTCTCGAACCCTCGGGCTCAGGCAATCCACTCACCTCAGCCTCCCAAGGCGTGGGATTATAGGCTGAGCCACCGAGCCTGGCTCTGTCAGACTACTTGTAATGCCTTAAATAACTTGCTATCTTGCTGCTCTCCCTGTGTGAAAGTCTGCTCTTTCTTCCCCATACCTTTTTGCCTCATTTTCTTACCATTTTTCAAATCCCAGCTTGGATGTCCTCTGTTATTATTAACTAGTCATATTATATTGTAAATACATACATGAATACACAGGAGAATAAGACTCGTGTCCTACTCTTTTCTGTAACTGGGCTTCTCACCACTTGGTCTTGGCTTTTAATAGACACTCAAATGTTTGTTGAATTGATTGAAGCATAGCTTATGAGGATGGCAGGTGGGGCTGAAACAGGCTACTAAAATAGTCCATGTCTTGGAGAAACTGTGTTCATTGCTTTCGTCTTTGGAAAACTGGCCTTAGGAGGGCTTAATGTCCTTTTCCTACCTCAGTTTCTGTTTGTGTTAGTAATCAGGCTCTGGGAAAGGGAAATTGCAGCCAGTCTGGATTGCCTCCCTGGAGAACCCTTTCCAGTACTCTGGGGAGCACAGCAGTTGTGCTGTATGCTGTTGTTGCTGGGATTGGGAAGTGTTGTGCTTGGGGAGCAGGAGATTTTGGAGTCCTTATTCTTGACCTTGAAACATTTGCTTGTGTGTTGGGATGATGCACTTGGCTTTGGAGAGAAGATTAATGACCCGAGGCAGCTGCTGGGGAGTCTTCTTTCTGTTAAGCTGCTTTCATTCTTTAATCTTATATATAATTCAGTATCCTTTAAGTGATGGGGTGAAAAAAGTAGAGCAGGATTGTCATTGGTGACTGGATTTCTAAGTTCTTGTTTCCTTCTATACCTCATTCTTTTTTATATATATATATTTTTTAATTGGAGTCTCACTCAGTCACCCAGGCTGGAGTACAGTGGCACTCTCACAGCTACTGAAGCCTCGACCTGCTGGGCTCAGGCGATCCTTCCACTTCAGCCTTCCAAGTAGCTGCAACTACAGGCATGTGCCACCATGCCCAGCTAATTTTTTTTTTTTTTTTTTGCGTTGGAGTCTCACTGTGTCACCCAGACTGGAGTGCAGTGGCATGCTCCCAGCCACCGCAGCCTCGGCCTGCTGGGGTCCGGTGATCCTTCCGCATCAGCCTTCCAAGGAGCTGGAACTATAGGCGTGCGCTACCATACCCGGTTAATTTTTGATTTATTGTAGAGATGAGGTCTCACCAAGTTGCCCAGGCAGGTCGCGAACCCGTGGTCTCAGGAAATCCACTCACCTCAGCCTCCCAAAGGCATGGGATTATATGCCCAGCTTAATTTTTTGATTGTAGAGATGAGGTCTCGCCTCATCTCACCCGAGCCCAACAGGTCAAGGCTGCTGATGGCCATGAGCATGCCACTGCACTCCAGCCTGGGTGACAGTCAGACTCTGGCTCAAAAAAAAAAAATTGTACATCTATCTTGAATTCATATTTATCAAAAAGAAGTACAAGTGTCTATAGACAAAATGTAAAGTTCCTCCGCCAATTCCTCTGTATGCATGTGTATTCATATGTACAGCCAGATATTTTTATCTTTTATGGTATGATTGGGATTATACTCAGTATTATTGTTCTGTGACTGTCTCATTAGGTAATGTGTTGACTGAAAAAAGAAGTCATTATAGACATCTTTGGTCATCCTTACCCTTGCTTGATTAGTTGCTGTGATAATAGCTAATAACACTACTACTTTGTAAAATTGAATAGAGCTATGTGCTGAACATATATTGGGTGCTTTGTATTTTCTCCTTGACTTTTTGACCAACATCAAGTGTATTATTTTACACTGCAGCCTTGATCTGCTAGGCTCAGGTGTTTCTTTTTTTTTTTTTTGAATCGGAGTCTCACTCTGTCGCCCAGACTGGAGTACAGTGGCCGCTCCTGGCCACCGCAGCCTCAACCTGCTGCCCTCTGGCGATCCTTCAGCCTCAGTCTTCCGAGTAGCTGGAATTACAGGCACGTGCTACCATGCCGGCTACCATGATTTATTGTAGAGATGAGGTCTCGCCAAGTTGCCCATGTGGGTCATGAATCAGGTGTTTCTAATATCCACAAACAGTCCTGCAAGATTTGTTATTGTTAACATCACATTAGGATGTGATGAGGAAATATTTATTCAGAGTCACATGTTTAATAGTGACTGATCAGGGAATCAAACTTACGACAGTCTAGCTTTACAAACTGTGTCTTATTCCCTGCTGTACCTGCACCACCTCTCTGGTGACACATTTGGTTTCCCTCTAACTCTTAGAACAGTGTTTCCCAAACCATTCATGATGCAATATTAGTGGCGTTTTTGCCCCAATCTGTTGCAAATCAGTACTTTTGTAAAAATACAATATAAATAAGCTACTAGAAAAATTAAAAAGACATAGAACATATCAGCCCAAATACATTATTAGACTAAGAATTACTTAGATTGTTGTAAATTTTTCCAGATGCTTACTTTCCATTTCTGTACTTACTTCCCCACGGACTGGTGAAATCAGCGTGTGGGCCAGCTCTGGACTGGATTCTAGACACTTTGTAAGGCACTGCCTTTGAGGAGTTAGGGTGGTGTCATAGAAGGAGTCATAAATCAAAGCTCGGGAAACTCATGGTAAAAAAAAAAAGAGTCTGGTTTTAGTTTGTAGGTTTTAATGTTTTTTGGGGGTTTTTTTGAGTTGAGTCTCACTCTGTCACTCAGGCTGGAGGGCAGTGGCATGTTTATAGCCACCGCAGCCTCTACCTGCTTGGCTCAGGAGATCCTTCCACTTCAGCCTTCCAAGTAACTGGAGCTACAGGCGTGCACCACCACACCCAGCTAATTTTAAAATTTATTGTAGAGACAAGGTCTGGCCAAGTTGCCCAGGCTGGTCTCGAACCTAGGCACTCCTCTAGCCTCTGCCTCCCAAAGTGCTGGGATTACAGACGTGAGCCACTGTGCCTGGCCTGTTGTGAAATATTTTAAACATATATAGAGGGAGAGGATAGTAATAATTAAGAGTCTCATGTACCCATCATCCAGCAGTTATGATCAGTCTTGTCTCATCTATTTTCATACCCTTTCTCTTGCTAGACTGTTTGTTTGTTTGAGTCAGAGTCTCACTCTGTCGCGCATGCTGGAGTGCACTGGCACGCTCACGGTACTGCAGCCTCTACCTGCTAGGCTCAGGTAATCCTTCCGCCATAGCCTTCCAAGTAGCTGGAACCATAGGCGCGTGCCACTACACCCAGCTAATTTTTTTTTTTTTTTGGACACTGTCGCCTAGGCTGGAGTGCAGTGGCATGCTCCTGGCACCGCAGCCTCGACCTGCTAGGCTCAGGTGATCCTTCTACCTCTGCCTTCCAAATAGCTGGAACCACAGGAGCATGTCACCACGCCTGACTAATTTTTATTCATTCATTCATTTATTTATTTATTTATTGTAGAGATGAGGTCTCACCAAGTTGCCCAGGCTGGTCTCAAACCCTTGGTTTCAGGCAACCTCTTGCCTCCACCTCCCAAAGTGCTGGGATTACAGGCATGAGCCATTGCACCCAGTTTAGATTATTATTTTTAAGCACATCCCAGGTGACATTATTTCATTCATAAATACCTCAGTATTTATCTCTAAAAGATAGTGATTATAAACCGGGCTCAGTGGCTCAGCCTGTAATCCCACGCCTTGGGAGGCTGTGGTGAGTGGATTAACTGAGCCTGCGGGTTCGAGACCTGCCTGAGCAACTTGGTGAGACCTCATCTCTACAATAAATCAAAAAATCAGCCGGGCGTGGTAGCGTGCGCCTGTAATTCCAGCTACTTGGAAGGCTGAGGCTACTTGGAAGGCTGCTGGAGCCCAGCAGGTCGAGGCTGTGGTGGCCGGGAGCGGCCACTGCACTCCAGTCTGGGCAACAGAGTGAGACTCCAACTCAAAAAGAATATTAATCTGCAGTTTTCTTATATCTTTGGCTTCATATCAAGGTAATCCTGGCCTCACAAAATAACTAAAGAAGGGTTTCATTTTCAGGTTTTTTGGAAGAGTTTGAGAATTCAGAAGAACCTGCTTTTTTTTTGAGCCCAGAAGTTAGAGACTAGACTAGCTTTTTAAAAAAAAAATTATTATAAAGATGTGGGGTACAATTCCGGGTTAGGTATTCAAACATTGATTAGGAAGGTATCCTTGTTGATGAGGAGTGCCCCTCCCTCCCCTAGCAGTTTCCCTCAACTGCCAATCCCACTCCTCCACCCCCCCCCCACAGTTTCCCACTACTGCCAATCTCTTTCTTATAGTATTATAATTGTTCAAAGTCAGGTATAGCTTTTGTGTCAGCCTTCGTGTGTGACTTTAGCTGAGGCCCAAAAGAGTGAAGGTCTCATTTGGTAGAAATGATGTTTGCTTTCATAATAACAACTTGTTATCAAGGATGAATTTCTCCCTGAAATTAATAGATTCAAGACTAAATAGTTGAAGGGGGTTTTAAGAGGTTATTTAATTAAGCGCTCTGCCATTACGGAAGCAAATTCTTACCTCTGCACATTGTAAGAATAGCTGAGGTCCAGAAAGTTTAAAATGGTTTACCTAAGGTTTGTAACTGGTTGATGTCAGAACAAAAACAGATCGCAGGTCTGCTTACCACAGAGCCGGTAATGCACATATGGTCTTTGTGAAATTAACTTGGTTAGATAATGATCTTCTGTTTTTCTTTCTCTGTAGGTTCTTTGCATTGACATCCCTTCGCCTTGTGTTTTTACTTGCATTCAGCTTGATGATCATTGTGTGTATTGATCAATGGAAGAACAAAATCTGGCCTGAAATAAAAGGTGAGTTTGGTAGCATTTCGAACAGTCTGAACTGGAAATGGCCTTTCCTGTCATTTTTACCTTTAGCTTGAGGTTTATGGGGACTATCATTTGAAGTCTGAATTATTTGCTTTAGGAGCCACTTGAAGGGCTCATGCCCATCTGTGGTTCTGTAGAGCTGGAGTCTACCTTTTTCATTGTGGTTAAGCTCAGGAAATCTTTACCTACCTCTTCAGGTATTCCTGCTAACATAATGGGCTGAGGAATAAGTAGTCCTCAAAATTAAAAAAAAAAAAAATTCTCCTCATTGGATACTACATCTTTCTTGCGGCAGTATCAATTTATCTCTCAGGAATTTCTTTCTTTCTTTCATTCTTTCTTTTTTTTTTTTGAAGCCAAGTCTTACTCTTTCACCCAGTCTGGAGTGCAGTGACGCGATCATAACTCACTGCAACCTTGAATTCTTGGGCTCAAGTGATCTTCTCAGCCTCCCGAGTAGCTAGTAATACAGGTGCATGCTACCATGCCTGGTTAAGTTTTCATTTGTTTTGTAGAGACAGAGTCTCACTATGTTGCCAAGGCTGGTCCCAAACTCCTGACCTTAGTCTATCCTTCTGCTTCTTCTGTTTGGCCTCCCAAAGTGCTTAGATTATAGGTGTGAGTCACTGTGCCCAGCCAGGAGTTCCTTTTAAATTGCTTATTTGCAAAGAATTATAACTTCTAGAAAGATAAGATATGTTGTCTTTTTTTAAAGTTTGTACATACATAAACAAAGGAAAAGTTACATGACAGTTACAGAACAGTACCAGACATATCACAATGCAGTATGTGATTGGTAAATTTGTGATATATTTTGACCGTAGCTCAATAGTGGAACAAAGCAAAAGATTTGGACAAGTGGAGAGAGAAATGTGTTTCTAGAGGAGCCAGTGACTTGATTAGTCTAAGGAACCAGAAGTTGTAAAGCATTTCCTGAGAGTAGAAAATTGAGCATTTGGCAGGAATGAAGAGTTCATTAAAGGGAATGCTAGAAATAAAACTGAAAAAACTGAAAGTATGTTGGATGCTGGGATTAGATTTTTTTTTTTTAGAAACACAGTCTCTGTTGCCCAGGCTAGAGTGCAGTGGTGTGATCATAACTCACTGCAGCCTCAGACTCCTTGGGCTTAAGTGATCCTCCCACCTTGACCTCCCAAGAGGTTGGGACTACAGGTACACACCACCTGGCTAATTTTTAAATTTTGTGTAGAGATGGGGGTCTCATGTTGCTCAGGGTAGTCTCAAACTCCTGGTCTCAAGCGATCCTCCCACCTCAACCTCCCAAGTCTTAGGAGTCCTGGGCTTCTCTGGGATTACTGGCCTGAAGGATTAGATTTTTTGTTGGGCTTTAAAGTTAGGTTTAGAAATGAGCAACCAGTCACCATTGCCTTTCTAGACTGTGGTGTGGCCATGTGCTCTTTGAGCTATGGCTTTCATCATGTTTCCTGGCTTTGGCCCCCTTCCCTACCTTGGGGAAATGAATCGTCTCTTTCTTTCTCTCTCTCTCTCTAATTTACTTTTTTTTTTTAGTTTGGAAAGCTACTTGAAAGGCTGAGGCAGAAGGCTTAATGCTGGAGGGCTGTGAGCATGCCACTGCACTCCAGTCTGGGCGACAAAAAAAAAAAAAAAAAAAACAAAACTAAGAGAGTAGGAAAATGGCATTCTAGTTAGCAATACAGGCAAAGACAGGTGGAGAACTTGGGGGTAAGAGCAAGGAACAATGATATGGGTTTTAGATGTGATAATTTGAAGTGTTGGCAAGACATTCAAACCAGACTATACAGCTTTTAAATCCTATTTTATAGAGACTTCAAGGAATTATGTAGTTCATCTGCCTATCTTATGGCTGGTGAATTCGAAAATACTTTACATCCTTAAGGTAGATAACAGGTCTCTCTCCTGCTTTTTTTTTTTTAAAGAGACAAGGTCTCACTGTTCTGGCTAGACTCGAACTCCTAGATTCAAGCAGTCCTCCTGCCTCGGCCTTACGAGTAGCTGGAACTATAGCCATGTGCCGCAGCCCCCAGCTCTGGGTCTCTTTTTTTTGGAGTCGAGTTTCACTCTGTCATCCAGGCTGGAGTGCAGTGGCATGCTCAGGGCCCTGCAGCCTCGACCTGCTGGGCTCAGGTGATCCTTCCGCCTCCACCTTCCAAGTAGCTGGAACCACAGGTGCACACCACCACGCCTGGCTAATTTTTTTAAAAAACATTATTGTAGAGACGAGGTCTCGCCATGTTGCTCAGGCTGGTCTCAAGTCCCTGAGCTCAGGCTGTCCTCTTGCCTCGGCCTCGCAGAGTGCTGGGATTATAGGCGCGATCCACCGTGCCTGGGTTTTGGGTCTCTTTTAAAGAGTAGGCAGATTTCTAGGGCTGGAGTAGCTATAATATGCCTTTGTAGCCTGCTACATATTGATATTGTGAGCATCCCAGACACACTCAAGGGGTGGGATGGACCATTTTTCTTGTACATCTTGGCTTTCAGCTAAGGTCCTTAGAAGGGACTTTAATGGTGCACTTGGCTCCCTTACTTTCTCTCGAGAAATGAGCAGACACAGGTCAGGTGCAGTGGCTTACACCTATAATCTCAACACTTTGAGAGACTGAAGCAGGATCACTTGAGGCCAGAGTTCAAGACCATCCTGGGCAATATAGCAAGACTTCATCTCTGAAAACAAACAAATTAGTAAATAAATAAGCAGGTATAATTATTCCCTGTCCACAGCTCCCTAACTGACAGTATAACACGGTGTCTCTCTTTTTGTTAGCTATTGCTGCTGTTTTCTTTTCCCCAAAGCTATTAAAACTTGAGCCGTCAAACCAACAGCCTAACATTTTCATGTTTAGTTTTCCCTACCAACTAATGCTGGTGTTTGTTTTAATATTGTAGTGCCGAGACCCGACGCATTAGACAATGAGAGGTATGGAACACTAATTAAATCCCTTTTTGTTGCTCTGATTGATTCTCTTGTAATATTCTGGTTATATGTTGTTAACCCTATGTTCTAGACACATAATGTAAACTGAGAACCTAGTCAGTCCCAAATAATCATTTTGACACATCCTAAAGTTCGGACAGCAATATGTTGAGATGGCCAGCATCCTCTGATCTTTATAAGAGAAGTTTCAGGGAAAGAAGCATTTCACTGCCCTATAACCTGATATACCAGGGAACCAGCAGCATTATTTGGCCCCAGTGAGAAAACTTTGAGGCAACTAACTTCATTTGTCTCTTGGCTTTAATACCAGGTCATTTAAAAATGTTTTCTGTGACCTCTGGCTATTTAAAGTTCCTGGGTCAGAAAACACATTGGTTCCTGGCATCAGCAAGCCAAAGCCAAAGATTCCTCTTGTGTCTTTCATTTATCAGTTCATCCTCTCTATATGTTTGATCCAAGGAATTTTCTGTGCTATGGTTTATTTTGGTCTTGCTTTATTTATTTTCTCTCTGAGGGGCACATCCACCATTTCCTCCCCCTCAGCAGTAGTGGTGTCAGTGTGCTTTACTTTTATCTCTGGATTGCAATCTCAGGGAATTGCAATGGTTCAAGTACAGGGAAGAAAATGTTTCTAAGCACAAAGGTCTTGGAGCTGGTGACAGGTTAACACATGTGGATGAGGCTGCTTGCTCATAGGGTGGAGTTGTCAGAACAAGTTTGTCCTAGTCCCTAAATTCAAGTTTCAACCTGGTGAGCCAAGAATGCTTCACCTCCAAAGCACCTGGGCCTAGCTACTCCCCAGCCCCATTTAAACCCGGAAGCATTGGCTGCCTGCACGGCAAGATGGGGGGGCCCCAGCACCCACCTTTCACAGCTCCCCTTCTCTCTTCCATAGCTGGGGCTTTGTGCACCCTCGGTTGCTCAGCGTGCCCGAGCTCTGCCACCATGTAGCTGAAGTCTGGGTTAGTGGGACCATTTTCATAAGGAATCTTTTGCTTTTCAAAAAGCAAAACCCAGGCAAGGTAAGACTCTTCCCTTCTTCACCTTCATCTCTGGCCTTTCAGTTCACTTTGTGCTAAACTGAAACAGCTCCTTTACAATCTATCCTCATGCAGGAAAGAAAAGACTGTGATGTTTGTAGAGAGAAAGGGAAGTTGTAGGAGGGGCTTCTGACTGGCCATTAGGACTAAGGCAAGAGCTTGGGGACCCCTCAATGGGTGTGCTTGCCACTTAGATTATTTTCTTGCCCTAAGATGGGAAATAAAGCTTTCTTGTGTGTGTTCTGTGTCATATTAAACATGTGGTAGGTTGTTGGGTTTTTTTACTTTGATGTAAAATAAAAAACACCATTGACACTTGATTTCAGAGAGGATCTTTGACTAAGTCAAAAATTTTTGACTAAGTCAAACCAATTTCCCAGCATGAAAGCTGCAGCCCTACAGGGTTAACCATGTAAAAAGAGTTTGAATAGAAGGGGAGTCCTTTTTTTTCTCCCAAACAGAATCACTACTGGGTGCAAGAGTAGCTATATCAGTCATTTTGACGTGTGTGCTTGACTCGTAGATCATAAGGAAACTTCCAATCACCTCTCTACCCTAACCCCCATACCCATCACAGTGCCCTGCCATGTGGCAGAAACTTAATACTATTTCTTGACTCCCCCAGTTCTGCTTGCTGAGCTGTGGGATACTGACCTTTTTGGCTGTTTTGGGCCGCTATATCCCTGGGCTCCTGCTGTCCTACTTGATGCGTAAGTATGGTATATGCCTCCCCTACGAGCTGTACCCTGCTCATCACTGTCCAGCTGTGGCTAACTCTGGGTGTAGGGAGAGGATTTTTATATTTCAGGTTCTTCAGGAAACCAATGTTTTTTTTTTGAGTTGGCATCTCACTCTGTTGCCCAGACTGGAGTGCAGTGGCATGCTCACAGCAGCCTCTACTTGCTGGGCTCAGGCGATCCTTCTGCCTCAGCCTTCCAAGGAGCTGGAACCACAGGCATGCACCACCACACCTGGCTAATTTTTTGATTTATTGTAGAGATGAGTTCTCGCCAAGTTGTCCAGGCTGGTCTTGAACCCCTGGGCTCAGGCAGTCCTCTCGCCTCCACCTCTCAAAATGCTGGGATTACAGACGTGAGCCACCACGTCTGGCAGAAACAACCTTTTTTATAGCTTCATGATTATTTGGTGTCATGAAATATCCTTCTTCTTACCTGCAACAGTTTCTCCACGTAGAAAGTTCATTTCTTACCAAGTCAGTTATAGAAATGAATGAGGGTTTACTAACATATATTGTATTAGAGTCAGGGTATCATTTAACAGCAGAACATAGCTCTAGGGATGCCTCTTCTGAGTTCTGTGGACGTTGGAACACTGCTTTTCCTGTGAGCACATTTTTGTAAATTTATTTGCTTCCTGTCGCATGTCCTCTACTGCCACAAGAACTGAGTAGTTATAGCTATGACCATTATATCTCAGAACCTCATGAGACTTGCATAGTTTCTAGGCATTGAAACCATTCAGCCTTGTTTAATGGCTCAGTGATACCTATGTGGAAGTACCATCTGCCTGGTTCTGCCTTTGGCCTGTCAGCAGCATACTCTGCTGTGCGCAGTCCTGTACTAGGCCCTCTGGGTGGCTACAGAAGTCCCTGCCCAAAAACATCTCAGGTAGTAGAGAGATTGGTGACAATGACAAGCAGATAGGCAGAACTGTTCCATTCTAGTGTCCAAACTCTAAAGACACAGTAGCAGAGCGACAGTTGGGAATGTTTCATGCAGCCCCTTCTCCATCTTGCCATTGTTCCCCATGCCTCCTCTCAGTTGTCACTGTCATGATGTGGCCCCTTGCTGTGTACCACCGGCTGTGGGATCGAGCATATGTGCGGCTGAAGCCGGCTCTGCAGCGGCTGGACTTCAGCGTCCGTGGCTACATGATGTCCAAGCAGAGAGAGAGACAATGTAAGTGCTAGGAAGAGGCTTCCTTCCACTTGGGCAATTTGGGGAAAAGAAAGAGAAGCTTATGGGTCTGACACTGAGTAAGTCCTCAAAAGTAAGAGAAGTGGAGGTAGATGGTGGGTTGGGAGGTGGTAGCCAAAAGTACTAGTCTATTCCAGGGAAACCTATGCAGGCTTGCTAGTTTTTCTCATTTGGAATCCTAAACACTCCCATTTTAAACAAATTTGAGAAGAGCGCTTTCAAGGTGAATAAAAGGCAGACAGTAAAGATATACCTAGTATTAGCTGCTATATATATATTTGTTGAGACGAGGCCTATGTTTCCCAGTCTGATCTTGAACTCCTGGGCTCCAGCAGCCCTTCTGTCTCAGCCTCCCAAATAACTGGGATTACAAGCATGCACCCCCACGCCCAGCTGTGTTAGCTTCTATTTACAAAGCACTTTCCATGTGTCCAACACTGTGCTTGCTGGCTACTCTGCATATGTTGTCTTATCTAACCTTGACAACTTTGAGAAGTGGATGCTACTATCCTCCTTTTCCAGTTAAGGAAATCGAGGCTCATGGTTAGTAAATGTCAGAGCAAGTCTTTTCAGCTCCCAAGCCTTGTTGGTCTCTTCTTGCTACTGCAAGCTGCCTCTCAGAGGTGATAAAAACTGCTGCCTCAGCGGTCAGGAGTATATTGGCCTGAGAGCCACCCAGCATGTTAATGGTGGTAGTGCAAACTTTTTTATCCCTGTGGGGTCTTGTCAGGTTATGTGTTTGTAAATGTGGGCCTCAAAGAGCCCTGCACTTAGTCACCAAGACCCAGCTCCCCCTGGGGCAGCCTGTTGAGTCGTTAGTCTTCAAGTCCTGATTTGAACAAGGTGGGTATCTCTTTACCACTCTAATATCAAATCTGCCTCTAGCCATCCTGAGAGGTGGTGATATGCTTGCTAGGTGATCATCTGACCTAATAGAAACACGTGGGGTAGGTGGAGGGAAGGAGGTTGAAGAGTGATCTCTCTTGTGTTGGCAGCTTACCTGGCCATGTGGGCCCAGCAGCCCCGCCTGCAGGTGCTGTCACGTAGGCTAGGGCCATACTCAGAGGGGCTCTTTCCACACAGTGCGCCGCAGAGCTCTACACCCAGAACGTACCACGGACAACCACAGTGACAGTGAAGAGGAGCTAGCTGCCTTCTGTCCTCAGGTATCTTGAGTGGGAGCTGCAGCACTGGCCAAGTTTCATTGGCTCCCTTTTAGCCCTCTGTCAGCTCACGTTTAGGCAGTAACCAGGTTTCCAGCCCATCATGGACTCTCCCAAGATCCTAGACTCCCCTTGCTTCCAAGTGCAGTGATAAAGAGAGGAGCTAGGGTTATATTGGGACTTTGTACCTAGATCTAATTTGAACCTGGTGCCCAGCACACCCTCTTCCATGCCTCCTCCTATCCTGTCATCATGGAAAATTTTCTGGGTGAGTGTGATTATTATTATTATTATTTTTTTTGAGTCGGAGTCTCACTCTGTCGCCCAGACTGGAGTGCAGTGGCTGCTCCCGGCCACTTCAGCCTCGACCTGCTGGGCTCCGGCGATCCTTCTGCCTCAGCCTTCTGAGTACCCGGAATTACAGGCGTGTGCTACCACCCCCAGCTAATTTTTTGATTTTAGTGTAGAGATGAGGTCTCACCTGCCCAGGCGGGTCTCAAACCCGCAGGCTCAGGCAATCCACTCATCTCAGCCTCCCAAAGGCGCGGGATTACAGGCTGAGCCACCGAGCCCGACTGAGTGTGATTATTTTTTAAACAGCTCAGTCCACTCTTAGGTCTGGCAGTGTATCCACCTGACCATCTGTGAAAAGTTATCTCTGAATTAGTTATTTGCCAAATAGTAGATGGCTAACTGACTCCCTAAGACTACTTTCTTTCTCTGTTCAAGAGATTGATGAATAAGAGTGTTTTCTTGGGACAAGCAGCCTAAAAGGGGTCAAGATTTTGACTAAAGTCCCTATCTATCCCCAGTGACGCTGATGGCCTTTGGATAGCCTTTAAGGCCAGCTAAGTAGTAAGGCTATACCTGGGGACTGCACCTGGTCCCTAATGGTATCATCTCAGTCTTGTTGGTCTTTTCTTTTCCTAAGCTGGATGATTCTACTGTTGCCAGGGAATTGACCATCACAGACTCTGAGCACTCGGACGCTGAAGTCTCCTGCACAGACAATGGCACATTTAATCTTTCAAGAGGCCAAACGCCTCTAACGGAAGGCTCTGAAGGTGAGAGAAGCCTTTGATCTGAGTTGATAATGGCTGTAACTGTTGCTGCTCAACCTCTCTGGACAGAGGGAATATGGGTGCCCCCCTCCTTTCCTGTTTTCTGAGCTATGTATCAGGTGGCAGAGCAGCCTGCGGGGTATGGCTACAACCAGGAAGGCATGTCTGCTCTTGTTGAAACCTTCAGTCCCTTAGTAGCTGCAGGCTCCAGCCCCATAGGGGACATAAAGCAACAGAGGAGTTGTGTGGCTAGTAGAGATCACAGCCATGTGTAAGTAGAGGGGAAGCCAGTCCTGTGGGTGTTTCACCCTGAGAAATCCAAGGTGGGGAAAATCTGGCTATATGGGGCTGACATGTTGTGGGGCTGGGGCACAGGAGGGTCAGGTAGTTGGCATGTCTCAGACACCCCTGTATTCTTGCAGACCTAGATGGGCACAGTGATCCAGAGGAATCCTTTGCCAGAGACCTTCCGGACTTCCCTTCCATTAATGTGGATGCTGTTGGCCTGGATGATGAGGACGACACTAGCATTGGCATGCCCAGCTTGATGTATCGTTCCCCACTAGGGGCCGTGGAGCCCCAGGCCCCACCTGCCAGCCAGGATGAGGCTGCACTGCCAGAGCTCCTGCTTGGTGCTCTGCCTGTAGGATCCAACCTCACCAGCAACCTTGCCAGCCTAGTCTCCCAGGGTATGATCCAACTGGCCTTGTCAGGAGCCTCCCAGCCTGGCCCTTCTGGCCCACCTCCCCGGAGAGCAACAAGAGGTTTCCTTCAGTCCCCTAGTTCAGATCTGGACACTGATGCTGAGGGGGATGACTTTGAACTTCTGGACCAGTCAGAGCTGAATCAGTTGGACCCTGCCAGTTCCAGGAGCCAATGAGGCAAAGATTCCTTTGGGGGTCACTGCGATTTAGGCTTTTTTCTTCCCATCCAACTGAAGGTGACGGGGCAAGGGAAGAACCCAGTTCCCATCTCCTGAATTCTGTTTGTATGCTGGGTGGCCTGGCTGCTCAGAGGCCTGCTTAGAGAGGATACTCACTCCCCTGCTACCAGCTGGACACCCGTTTCTGAGCTCAGTCACTGAAGTGAGAGTGTGCGCCCCTGAGGGAGGCTTCTGTCAGCATGGTACTTTGGGGAACAGAGTAGTCAGGGATATTGTTCCCCTTTGAGGAGGTGCTGCTGTTTGCTCTGAGGTGTGGGTGCTCAGGGTCCCTCACTGATAAAAGAGCCCATCCCTTCCATTCTCCCTTTACCTCCCTATGGAGCCTCGAAAGTCAGGCAGCAGCTGGAAGAGTTACATTGTCACTATCTTTTGTTAAACCCAATTTTTTTTTTTTTTTTTTTGAGCAAGCTTGTCCTTCGATTCTGTAGAACAGGCCTGCTCCTCCTCTAGCCCATCCTCATTTCTTGGGGCCTGACCCTCAGTGCTCCCAAGTAGTGCTTGTGAAATTTAAGAAATGTGAACATGATGTGGGGTGTCTCTTCTGCATCACCTTGGACTATGGGGGTCAGCCAGCAGGGAGGGTGAGTGTGTACCTCTGTATCTTGAGGTCTCACTGAAACTTCTGGAGCTGTGTGGTTGTCTTTGGTGCTGCTAACCCCTGGCTCCATTTGTCCAGCAGCCTGAACAGTGAGCAAAGCAATACCATACTCATTTCTATGTTCCTGTACCTTCCCCTGCTTCTCCCTTGGAGAAGCAGTAATTCCATGGGGGATGGCAAAGTAGCACTTTACAAAGGGCTCTGTGGCATTCACCCCAATAGCCACAAGCTCTTGCACCAGCTCTTCTTACTCCGTGTTTAGCTCCTTTACTGCTTTTATTTTCAACTACTTCCCAACGGGCAGGCCTTCCTTTAAGGATGAGCCCAGGCAGGTGTGGTGGTTCACACCTGTAATTCCAACACTTTGGGAGGTGGAGGCGAGAGGACTTCCTGAGCCCAGGGGTTTGAGACCAGCCTGGGCAACTTGGTGAGACCTCATCTCTACAGTAAATCAAAAAATTAGCCAGGTGTGGTGGCACATGCCTGTAGTTACAGCTACTTGGAAGGCTGAGGCAGAAGGATTGCTTGAACCCAACAGGTTGAAGCTGCGGTGGCTGGGAGCATGCCACTGCACCCCAGTGGTGACAGACTCCAGTTCAAAAAAGGATGATCCCAGTTAGCAAGAATGTGTCCATAATCAGAAGAGACCTTTCTGAGGGATATCTGTTCTGTGGCAGCCCTCAGCAAAATCATGAGACAAAAAACTAAGTGGTAATTGGGTATAAATCTGTGCCTCCCTCTCCACCCCAATCAGTGCTCAAGCCAAACTCTTCTTTCCCCTTTCCTTCTGCATTAACCCTTTGCTGATCCTCAGGGACCACTCCCCCAACACCCCCATACTTGGGTGAGGGATGTTGGACAGAGCCTATTTTCACGTGCTGCAGGTGGGGTTGTGCTGACGTGTTTGTTCCAGGTTGATGGACAAGACACAGAGGCCAGGGAGTGAAAATAGTCTGTAGTGAGACGGGAGAAAGAGCTAGGTGCCTGTCTCATAGTCACTTGCCTTTGTGTGACGGGCAGGGGTAATGATATCCCCCCACTACAGGGTTCTCAAACAGACTTTGGAACCTCCTCTTTCGGAGCCCAGATGTCATACAGGTGAGCTCTGATGTGGAAAAACGAGGTGTGGGAAAGTAGTGGGATTTTGTGTGTTGCATGAGTGTGTGTAGCTTCAGGCCTCGGGAGTTGCCAAGAGGGAGGGAAAGGAGAACAAAACCTTTGGAAGGTGTTTCTTGAACCTGGGGGGTCCTGCTCTGCATCTCCAGTAATCCTCCACTGTGAATTGGGGTGGGGGGTGCAGGGGAATAAATCTTGTATGAGAACAATCTTTAAGAGACTGATATTGGTGTCCTGCCCCTGATAGGCCTCCTATTTGTTCACCTGAGTTCTGATTAACTTGAAGTGATAACCTCAGAAGCAGCAGCCCCAGAAGCAGCAGCCCCGGTGTGAGGGGCCCCTCTGCCCACGCCTCTTTTTCCTTTGTGATGGCTGAAGGATCACCACAGTAGGCCACTAACCCTGATCAGAGCCCCCAGCCATGAGCATAACTGGCACTCTTGGCTGGCATTTAGCTTGCATTTCCATCATTTCGAATTCTTAATACTGTCCCCTAAGCATGCGGACACAAGCACGAGTCTCAAAGGCTAAAGAGGTTTTCACTAGCAGATGCTTTAAAAAGCGCCAGCTCCACCGGATTGAGCTGCAGGGACAGCTGCTCTCTGGTCTGCAGCTGACCTCAGAAACTAGAAATACTTATTTCGGGCTCTGTCCTATTGGCCGCTGTGGTCGGGCCGAAAGCACCTGCCAGGTGCTGCCCTGCGACTGGGCTAACTTATACTAACAAAGGGGCCTAAGAGCGACCCCGTCCCGCCCCGCCGTTTAGCCACAGCGGGAGCCGAGCGCCCCCTGGGGGCGGAGTAAGGGCGACGTGGTTCTCCGAGGCGCTCAGGCTGTCGTGACACCCGCCTCCCACAACTACCTGCTGCTCCTACTAGACGAGTGACCCACCAGCAGGCGAAAGCGCACTGGCGCGTGGGGTCGGGTGACCCTGTGACCTTGCTTACGTCTTCCCGTCCAACACTGGGCCTAATTCAAGGTCACGGGCGTTCAAGCGCGGCTGGAACTAGAGATTCGAAGGCCGTCTCTGCCACAGCCTGCGTTCCCGCGGGCGAATGGGACAATCTCGAAGTCAGAGGCCTGCTGCCGCTGCAGAGGCTGCAGAGGCCCGGGGCTCGCGGGTCGACTACGCGGCGCAGATTCCGGACTGGAGTGAACTACGGCGTCCGGGAAGGGCCGCTTCGCGTCCCCGGAAGGCTTCTCTGCCAATCACAACTGGGGCCCCTCCCCTCACCGGAAGGAGTCGTCGCTCAGAGCAACCACGACTTCCGGCTTTCCGAGTGTGGCGGCGGGAAAAGCCATGAGCAAAGGCCGGGCGGAAGCTGCGGCGGGAGGTAACAGCGGCGCGGCCCGGGCAGGCCCCGGAGGGCGGGAGGGGAGCCGGTGGAGAGGTCGGCGAGCGCCTCTGTCTGTTCGCAGCCGCCGGGATCCTCCTGAGGTACCTGCAGGAGCAGAACCGGCCCTACAGCGCCCAGGACGTGTTCGGGAACCTGCAGCGGGAACACGGCCTGGGCAAGGCGGTGAGGACCCTCTCCCGGGAGGCCCTCCCCGTGGGACCCCTTCGGGCCAGGCGGAGGTCGTGCCCTCGAGCCCGGGCGCTCTTCCCGTCCCTGGCTGAAATCCCTCCCTCCCGCCAGGCTGTGGTGAAGGCGCTGGAGCAGTTGGCCCAGCAAGGCAAGGTCAAGGAGAAGGTGTACGGCAAGCAGAAGGTCTATTTTGCGGATCAGGTGAGAACCTGCGCGGCCTGTCGCCGCGAGAGCCTGGCGTGGGGCGAGTCGACTCCTAGCGCTAGCTCTTGTTGAGGAGGGTTGAGGCACCCCAAGAAGCTCTCCCATCTTATGCCACTGAAAGGGCCTCCGGCACCCTTTAAATAAAGCTGTGAGCCTCACTATGACCCACACTCCATGCGGCTTCCAGATCTACAGTACGAAGGATGCCAAGAGCCTGTATTGTTGCTGCCAAATGGTTTTCCTTCTGCGTCCAACCCCCTCCCTGAACACACACGTCAAATTTGTCTTCTCCAGCTAAGACCTGCACCTGGAGTGTCTCAGACGTCGATGTCGGGGTCAGTACTGCTGCAGGAGAGAGTCTCGGCCTTCCAGCAGCCTGACGCCCTCGCCAGTGTATTTCTGCCTTAATGGAACCACTCTTCGTCCAAGCCAGAGACTCAGGGTCAGCCTAGTCACTGGAGTCCAGCAGATTTTCCCTTTCTTGAGTCCACTCTTTCCTTTGAGTCTCAGTCTGCCACCGCAGCTTAGTTCAGGCCCTCCTCATCTGTTGCCACCTCCTTCTAACTGATCTCACTCCTCAAATGTATCCTAAACGCTGCAGTCAGAGTCTAGTCTAACAGATCTGGTCATGTACCTTCCCTGCTTCAAATTCCCCAGTGCTCCGTGGACCAGGTAAAAGGCACTTGGAGATGCCCTGACCAGCCTCTAGCCTCACCTTTCCTCATTTTTTCATCCATCAACTTGCAACAATGCAGAGCTGCTTCTCTGCTTGGCTTTTGCTTATCCTTTAGGATTCCACTCAGGTATCACCTTCTCTGGAAACCTGAGTGCTGAGCTAGTTGAGTCTGTTTTAGGCTCCCTTGGGAGGCATGCTGTGTTATAGTTGTCTTTTTATTAGTCTCCCTCATTCAACTGAAGTTCCACTAAGGCAGCCCTCATTGCTCAGCTCATTTCTATCTACTCAGGACCCCGGTAGTATCTAGCGCCCAGTAGACATTAGACACTTTTGTAACAGAACCAAACCACCATCAAGGCTCATTTTCCTAAGACAGTCTTCATTGTGACATTGCTCTATTTTAAGTCCCCTAAAGGAGGGGTTTACAAGCTTTTCCTGTAAGTGGCCACACAGTATGTTCAAGCTATGTGAACCATATGGTTGGTCTCTGTCACATCTAGTCAACTGTCCACAACTACTCAGCTCACCATTGCAGAACAAGACTATGTCAACAAATGGGTGTGGCTGTTTCGATAACATTTTGTTTTCCAAAACTTGCATCTGGCAGCATCTGGCTTGCAGGCAGTTTGTGGCCTCTGCTCCAAAGCTTTGCTGTGCCTATGTGGAGAATCTGAAGTGCACAGGCTGGAATCCTCACCTTCCTAACCCGATCCCCATCACCAGCTGACGTGACCCTCGATATATCTGCAGCCCTTTTCTGGCAGTGGTCCCTCAGAGAGGAGCTCCGCAGACCTGGCCAGAGTCCTGTATCCAAATAGATCCCATCCTGTCTCTTCACCTATCCACACTCTTCCTAGTGGGAAGATCCTAGTCTAGGTTCCCTACCTTTACTCCTTCAGCCCAGTGAGTGGTTTTATCACTAAATGGAAGATGGTTCTGTCTTACTCAGTCTGATAATTCCTTGAGACAGGCATTGTGTTTCACCTTCTCTAGCCTTTTAGTGGGACTGGCACTTACCTGGAGCATTTTTCTTTTCTTTTTTTTTTTGAGTTGGAGTCTCACTCTGTTGCCCAGACTGGAGTGCAGTGGCCGCTCCCGGCCACCGCAGCCTTGAACTCCTGGGCTCTGGCGATCTTTCCGCCTCAGCCTTCCAAGTAGCTGGAACTACAGGTGCACACTACTACGCCTGGCTTATTTTTTTGATTTATTGTAGAGATGAGGTCTCACTGAATTGCTCAGGTGGGTCTCGAACCTGCGGGCTCAGGCAATCCACTCACCTCAGCCTCCCAAAGGCACGGGATTACAGGCTGAGTCACCAAGCCTGGCTTGGAGCATTTTTCAATAGCCCCATCCCACTCTGTTCCCAGACCCTCTGGAGGGTTGGGAAGTACCAGGTTCTCGAGTGGCTCTAAATATTATCTTCCCAGGTGTTGTTCCCATCTTTGTCTCTCATGTCAGTTCACTTTCGTTTTCCTCATCTCTGGCAGGACCAGTTTGACACAGTGAGTGATGCTGACCTTCGAGACCTGGATGTCAAAATTGTGGCCCTCACTGCTAATGTGCAGAGCCTGCAGCAGAGCTGCCGCTACATGGAGGCTGGTAGGACTGGGTAGCCCCCAAAAGTTGCCCCCAGGGTCAGGTTCAGTCTAGAGGTGAGGAATTACTGAGTGAGTGATTCACTGACTGCAGCACCTTGTGGTAGTTAGACCCCTTGCTGGGCTGCCTCAGGCATTACATTAAAAGAAATGTAGGACAAGCCGGGCTCGGTGGCTCAGCCTGTAATCCCACGCCTTTGGGAGGCTGAGGTGAGTGGATTGCCTGAGCCCACGGGTTCGAGACCCGCCTGGGCAGCGAGACCTCATCTCTACAATAAATCAAAAAATCAGCCGGGCGTGGTAGCGCATGCCTGTAATTCCGGCTACCTGGAAGGCTGAGGCGGAAGGATTGCCGGAGCCCAGCAGGTCGAGGCTGCGGTGGCCGGGAGCGGCCACTGCACTCCAGTCTGGGCGACTGAGTGAGACTCCAACTCAAAAAAAAAAGCAATGTAAGACAGCGAATGGCTTTTGTGCACAAACGGGCAAGATGTGCATTTGCCTCCCTCCACAATTATCAGTTTACTCTCCCTGTTTCCCTTGGTGCCTGCTTTTGTAACTGGCCATACCTGTGCTCAGCCTGGTAACCCACCACTACTTGAAGATGGAGGAGGAAAGAAAAGTAGTGGAGTGAATGGATACTCCTGTTGGCCTTATTTTCCTGAGCATTTCCAGAATGTGGGCCTTGATCCTGGATAGATCACAGAGCAAGGTGGAAGCCTGACTTCCCCTCAGGGAGCTCTCACTCGGGGAGACAAAACTCCGTCTTCAGGGGTGGCAGATGACCCCAGGTGGACATGGTTTCAGAGCTGAAGGAGTTATCTAGTGCCCTGACCACGCCAGAGATGCAGAAGGAGATTCGGGGGCTGAAGGAGGAGTGTGCTGGCTACAGAGAGAGGCTGAAGAACATCAAAGCAGCCACCAACCACGTGACTCCAGAGGAGAAGGAGCAGGTGAGTTGGGAGGGAGGAGGTGGGAAGGCCAGTGGGCTGCTGTGGTTCTATGGGGTTAGAACAAGCTACTTCTTACTTCCAGGTGTACAGAGAAAGGCGGAAATACTGTAAGGAGTGGAGGAGGCGGAAGCGGATGGTGAGTGTGTGGGAGGGCCAAGGCCAGCCCTGTAAGTGGTCTGGAAGGTGGCAGCCACCAGAGAAACCGCTGGCTGCCCAGTAACACAGGCCCCACAGGAGAGCTCAGGTGAAAGGGGTGGTCTTGTTTCTTGCCAGGCAACAGAACTGTTTGACGCAATCCTTGAAGGATACCCCAAGAGCAAGAAGCAGTTCTTTGTAAGTGGGACTGCCCCCGCTCCTTTGCTCCCCTGCGGTCTCTGCCCAGGGATAGCTCTTTAACTTGTCTCCCTGCCCCACAGGAGGAAGTGGGGATAGAGACAGACGAAGACCATAACGTCATGCTCCCCGACCCCTGAGGGGCCCTGCTGGGCGGGGATGTCAGGAACATCAGATGCCCTGGACCAGCTGCCTGCGAGGCTGGCTTCTGTTGTTCCTCCTGCTTTCCACCTTTGAGCACAGCAGGCAGGAGAGGCCTCAGCCAGCCCTGAGCGGAGGGAGCACTGTTGGTCCTGTGGGTGGCCACGCCTGTCTTGTCTCCACATTGCTGTAGCTTGAGTTTAAACTTAGACTTGAAGCAGTGCTAAAGGAAAGCAGTTGGCAAGATTTATTGTAGTATAATTTGATATAAAAATATTTAATTTCCTCTGGATCGTCAAGCCTTCTAGATATCCAATCTGAGGAAGGCAGAGGGAGCTGGAGGACAAGGGTAGAGGCTCCTTCATGCCAGCATTCACAGAGCCCATGCTTTGCCCAGGACTCCCCTAGGCTTGGGCGCCAGGAGACCTGATTATCTCCTGTACCCTTCACCCCACTCCCAAGTCCCATGAGTATAGGCAGCACTGAGACACAGTAGAGGCCCAGATACCCGACAGGAAGGCTGAGGATGGTTTTGAGGCCCAGTTCATATTCCAAAATTGTGACTAGCAAAACTGCATCATTGGTATTTAGAAAAATAAAAAATTTCAAATATGTAGTGCTGCGTCACACCTGCCTCTGCCGTACAAGGCTGCAGCCTGTGGGAACTCAGGGCAGGAGTCGAGGAGGTGGTGATGAACATGAGGTGAGGGGAGGAACCTGGCAGCCCCGCCCTGAGCTGGCCAGGAAGTGCTGGCCTCTCCCTGGACTGACCAGGCAGCTCCAGTCCAGGCACAAGGTGACCTTTTGCCCTTCACAGCTGTGGGAAGGCTGCTTCTTACTCCTCTTCTCCCTGCCAATTATTGCCAAGATGGCTAAACTTGGGCCAAATGTTGCCCCAGACACCAAAAGAGGCAAACAGTTTCAAATATGCAGGTCATGAACAGAAACCTGAGGATTGGGTGGGAGGCTGAGAAGCCAGAAGGTCTGTGGGGTGCTTGGAGCAGACTTCGAACCTGAGGACCTCCAGGAGAAGAGGGAAGACTGGGCAGGGTCAAGTTTTATGCTCAATGTAATAAATTAATCAGAAGCTTTCAAGATACAGGCACCTTCACCCAGTGAAGATGCCATGGGCTGGGAGAGCCCAACACCAGGTGGAAGCCAGCTGACCAGTGCAAGGTGCTGCAGTCCAGGCTCTGGACGCAGTAGCTCGGTGGTCGAATAGGAGAGAATCCGGGGACTCTTGGTGGCTGTTCTGTAGACTTCCAAGAGCCAGTCAGTAAAGCTGGTTTTTCAGTTGGTGCAGGACGCCAATCACGATCTCACGGAGGGTCTGGCAAGGGCAGCCGAGGAACAGGGAGACGCTGCTTAGGCCAGGGTACAGAACAGTCTTAAAGGTACTTTGCTTAGACCAGGTGTGTGCTAGAAAACTGGTAAAAAGAGCCCCTGGGAGTACCTATGCCTCCAATTCACTTTGAAACACCCCCAAAATGGGATAGAGAGATGGAGATACAGTAAAAGACAGAATTTAGATGGTGGATATGTGAATGTTCATTGTAAAATTCAGTGTTGTGATATATTCAGTTTCACAACAAAAATGTTGTGAAACAAGGTAAGAATCACAGAACAAGTTCAAGCCTCAGAAAAAGCAACCAGGCCCCAAAAGCAGAAGGTCTGGTGCAGTTCCTTCAACACATCTCCCTTCATAAAGAAAGACTAAAAAGCCTGGGGCAGCAATGTTAGTGAGCCTGGGAAGTCTCACTTTACAATTGCCAGATGCAGCCAAACATGGGCACCTGGGCCTCACAGCAAAAAGAGGGACATGAGCTCTGAATGTCAAGGAAAGACCCTCGAGAAGCCTGAAGAGAGCACCGGCTGTCCTGGACAACGGAGCTGGCCACTTTCCCTGCAGGCAGGGAGGATCAGGCCTCGGGCCCACTGCCGCCCCTTACCTGAGGCTTGCAGTGCTCCTCGATCCAGCTGAAGACGCAGGCCGACAGCTCCTGGAAGCTGGCCACAGAGATGGAGGCGTTGAAGGACTGGAACAAGGAGTCCATGATGCCTTGAAACACGTTGAACTTGACCTGGTCAGAGACTTGGTCCTCCCCCTCATGGGGGTTGTCCTGGTGCGCCTTCACGATCTGCTCATAGTTCCTGAAAACAGGCAGGAGGGGTTGAGAGCTGCAGCAGCCCACCAGCTGGGGAGAAGCTGGGGTCATCTGTGTACCTCCCCAGGAAGGGGGTTCCCAGAGTCTTGGGAGGTGCTTGGCATCCACTAGATTTGCTTCTAGGCCAGAAATGGTGACCTGCTCTCACCAGCCTTCCTTAATCCGACAGGTTATTTCCTGGGTACCTGCCATGTGTAAAGGACACTTGGGGATGCAGAATCCTGCCTCTAGGTGGCTGGCTCAGGAGGAGAAGAGTACTGTCTGCACTATATAAACATGTGTGTGTGTGTGTGTGTGTGTGTATGTGTGTGTGTATATATATATATATATATATATATATATATATATATATATATATATATATATATCCTTTTTTTTTTTGAATTGGAGTCTCAATCTGTCGCCCAGGCTGGAGTACAGTGGCACACTCAGAGTCGACCTGCTGGGCTTCAGCGATCCTTCCACCTCAGCCTTCCATGAAGCCGGACCTATAGGCACGTGCTACCACACCCGGCCAGTTTTTAATTTATTGTAGAGATGAGGTCTCGCCAAGTTACCCAGGCAGGTCTCGAACCCACAGGCTCAGGCAGTCCACTTGCCTCAGCCTCCCAAAGTGCTGGGATTACAGGCTGAGCCACCGAGCCCGGCCTGTCTTGCACCATATTATCTGCTGTGGGGATGGTGTGCACTAGAGGCACCCTCCAAGCCCCACTTCTGGCTCCCTCTTACACTTTCATGATCTTCAGGGCCATAACGTCCTTGCGCAGTGTGGACACCTCTTCTTCCTGCTTTTTCTTCTCCTTGTGCAGAAACTGGATGTAGTCAATGGCTAGGTGAGGGCACAGAAGTACTGTCAACCAGAAGGACGGGCTGACTTTGCCTCCCCTACCCTAGATCCCAACAGGCCTTCACAACCACCAGAGCGGGGCCAGCCAGGGTGTGTGTAAGGTGCTGGCTTCTTCCCAGCCCCCATTGGCCAACCCCTCCAGGGCTCTCCGACCATACTCTTTTGTAGAACGATGGCTTTGCTGAGCTTTTGGGAGCCGATGGAGAAGTCCTGCTGCTGACAGGTAGGGACGATGGTCTGGAGGTCATCATAGCCTCTCTGGAGAAAGCAGGGGAAGTATGCTCCTTAACCCTGAGGGATTAAGGTAAATGGGACAGCAGAGTCCATGCTCATAAACTCGAGGTGGGAGAACCAGAGGGAAGGTGGAGTGCAGCCCAGGGACTAGACCAGCTGTCCAAGGCTGTCTGGGCCTGAAGGCCAGGGCAGAGTGGACCTGAAATGACAGGGCCCTCCAGGTCACCTTGATGGCGTCCCTCCTCTTCTGCTCGGCCTGAGTATGTGCTCGCCGCCGCCGGTCCTTATAGGACTCCTTGTAGGACTCCTGGTGGTAATCACTGTCCTCGTCATCTACACTCAGGGTTGGGGCAGAGAGAGATCATCTTGGGGCCCAAGGGGCCCAGCTGGCCCACCTTTCCCCAGCTGGGAAAAAGAACCTGGTACCCAGAGATGGTAGATGGACAGAAGAGCCTAATGTCCTAGATGAGGTGAGAGGGGGCCCCTGTGTCTGGCCCTTGGGATCCAGCACTCTTGTATGGATGGCTGGAGCTTCCCTGTCTAGGAAAGGTCCTAATATGATGGGATATCTGAGTCCCCACATGGGGGGGTGTTGCTGCCTACCTGTGTTGGGGACAGAAGAGGCACTGGTGGAACCGATGCTATTAGCTCTGGACACTACACTCCCCTTGTGGGTGCTCTCTATAAAAAGCCCTGGAAAAGAGAGGCCCAATTCACTAAAGGCTGCAGTGAGGACCTGCCAGGCCCTCAGACACCTGTGGGCAGTGAATTTCTTAAGCATGCTCTCCCCTTCAACCCCAAAGCTGGCTGCACCGGGCCACCACTTCCTGCCATGCCACGCTGCCCTGCTCTCGTCCCTAGTGCCCACATGGCTCCAGGGGCCTGCAGTGCTACCCCCGGCTCACAAAGGGGCGTCGACATTATGGGGGTGAGGGAAGGACTGTCGCTATTTCCATCACTTCCCTGCTCCAGAGTGGAGCGAGCTGGGTGCCACCCTCAGCTGCTTCCTGCCCTGCGCTCCAGCTCCTTCCTCGCGGTCTCAAGCCAGGAATTCGGCTCAGGGACAGTGGACTGTGCTCACATGTGGCTGGCAAGGCCACAAGAATCCAGAGAGCTGAGGCAGTGGAGTGTCACTCTAGACCTTAGGACGGGAGGGACCACTCACCGGGGTCCAGGCTGTTGTCGCTGTAGGCATACTCCACCTGCGACCGCAGGAAAGGACAAGCCCATCAGTCCTGGTTAGCCCTCTGCTCACACACACCCGGGAGAAGGCGACGCGGCCGCAGCACACACCGCGGCCCCCCACGCGCGTGTGCGAGGGCAGCGGCATGATCGCCCCGAAAGCCACCGGGGGACCGGCTGTGGGAGCGGCGCGCTTTGGG